TTAGCATCAAAAATGAAGTAAGTTATTGTTGTTTTAATTACCATTGCTTTCGTCATTTTATTGGTTTTCATAACTTATTATTATCATTTTATTACTAACCTTGAGCATTAAACATTTCCAATAATTTTGTTGATAAAAATTTGTTGATGGCTAATTTTTCAGTAATAATTTTATTTGAAAAAAATATATATACTTATATAAATAAGATACTTCAATTTGCAAAAATAAACCATAAGTTCATCTTCAGTTGGCTCAATAAATAGCGTCTGTGGTAGAAATTTCTTGAGGTAAACTTCTAAAAGACGAAATAGTTTTAGACTTTTAACTTTTTAACTTTTACGTTCCTATAAAATGCCAAACTAGTATCGTGGAATCCACCAAAATATGCGTCATTTGGAGGAAATAAAAAATGTTGCATATATTTGCGTAGATTTTTCAATAATTTAAGAAGCATAATGACTCTCAAAGATTCCAGAAACTGGCTAGAAATTGTCCAAAGTAGCTATAAAAACTTTTGAAGCAACTTCCAAATCATCTAAAGTCACTTTCTTAACTGTTACACTAATAAAATTGTCTAGCTTTGAAATAATTTCCCAAGTATCTGAAGCATTTTCAAAGCATCTAAAGTTACACGTTCAAAGATTTTGATTCTCATCTTCTGTTTCTCTTTTAATCTCTTCGTTCCACCAAAATGGCTCTCTTCTTTTACGGTATTGTCCTATTTCATTTAGTGCTTCATTTGCGGCTTGGTGAAGACTTGTTTTGCTAGTTTCGTATTCTTCATCAGTCTGTTTTGGTAGAAGTTTCTAGATTTCACTCAACTCTTCATCCGCTTACCGTTATATTCATTTACCTACATCAAGTCTTCTATTTACTTATATCCAGTTGTTTATAAATATAAAACTTTGCGATCTCCTGGCATGGATATTTATTGTAGTGCGTGTTTTTTCTTTGCTACTTGACATATATCCTATATGTTTTTAATTTCTTTTTTCTGATGATTTTCGATTGGCTACCACATTCATCTCTTGACAGAAGATTAATACTTTATGTATCAGCATTGGGTCCTTTTTTTTTCCAAAATCGGCACGGTTTCAGGGTACTTAGTCTTATGTAATTTGTTGGGTACTTAGTCTTAAGTAATTTTCGATTAAGGTTTCCTTCAGCGTTCTCCACTGGAAGTGATCTTTACCAATTCAAGGTAATGCCTTTTGGTCTCTGTAACGCTCCCGCTACTTTCAAGATGTTGATGGAAATCGTACTACGAGGACTTACATGGAAACTATGCCTTATCTAACTAGATGGTGTGTTAGTAATTGGAAAAACTTTCGATAAGCATCCGCGAAACTTACAAGAAGTATTTACTCGTATCCATAAGGCAAATGGATAGGTTTATTTTATAACATTGTTACCATCAAGTACATATTTTAGTTATAATTTCTAAGCAAATTGGAGATTTTTTCATCTCATCAGCACATAGCGGACATAAAATAATCGGCGGACACCCAGTAAAGAAGTATATTATGATAGTGTGTCAGTGTGTCCGCCCTGGCCCCTAGAGTACAGAACAATTACTGATAAATTTGACTGTTCGCTGGCCAATGTTGATAGGTAAGTGGTGTCCTCTGTGGCTTGATGGAACACCGTCGGACACCGATATCCTTTCTGGCGTTGAATGTGTAATAATTAATTGTAGTTCTGAAGAAGTACCTATATGTACTTTACAATCACTAAACAATTTAATTTGTTTCCAATCCACTAACTCCCCATAGCATAGGTCATAGAAAACAACAAAAGCATGAAGATCCTTAAGCAGTCACAACGAAAATGCAAAATAAGAATGAAGGATAAGGATCGAAACATACAACACGAAAGAACAAAGATCATAACAATCATCCAAGAGTACCATAAGGAACTCTACTCAACACCACACCACAACCAAGATGTCGAACAAAACATAAACATAAAGAATGCAGGTTCTGAACACATACCAGAAATCACCATATAGATGACACTTGAACTCTCGCAGCTTGAATCTGGAAGAGGACGGAATCACAACAGAAATGTTAAGACTAGCAGGAGAAAATGCGCTAAAAGCAGTAAAAATGCACTGAATAAAACGCGCAGAGAGAGGATGGTAACACATTGCACAAGACCGTCAGAAATGGAAATTGGAAGGGGAGGCCTATGTTCAGGAGTGGACGTGACTGGGTTGCTTATGATGATGATGATAAACTCCTCATTATAAACTAAGTACCTAATCAAATTTTCTCCTGTGTATTTTTAAAATATCCAAAATATGACGCTCAACAGGTTTGGATTGCTACGTTAAATGTATATCCCTTTTACGTAAGAATGCAAATGAAGATTTGCTTCCTCTCTCCTCCGAATCTCAAGTCTCCGTGATGTGATGTCAATTATGATATTTTGACCCAGGAAGTTTGCGTTCTTTTACAATGTTTGTCCAAATGTCTGAAGTATATTTTGAAAGAAACTCACCCATACTTTCGTAACCCTATCCTTCGATGTTGGTTGCGAGAATATGGTTTTGTTGAAAGAGTTTTTACAAAAGCCCCAATCGGATTGAAATAACAATAATAAGGGGGTAGTCTAAGAACTTCGTAGTCCGTGGTCTTTCAAAATCTCGTCAATTTTATAACATATTACTAAATGGTTGTTTTAAGTCCCATAGTTGTTTTTCAATCAGGTTTGTGTCTCATGCGGTTAGTCAAATATTCCTGCATTTTGTCTTTTTTTGGAGAGAATTTGGGCGTTTAGGCTGTTGGAAACTTCGGTTGATGTGTGAACAGACGCGGTTGTAACTGGTGGTTTTGCATCATCGTTTGCGGTATCTCCAGGCATCTTGCTTCTCAAAACTCGGTTGAATTGGTCACTAAAGGTTCAATAAATTGAAAACTATTGGGCTGACGTATTTGTGGGAACGGCAAATAATTCAGAATAACGGCCTCATAGGGCAGTATTCGCTGCACACGGTCAATGGAGTTGGTCTCGGTACGGGTAAACTTCTACTGGCGGAAATATCAATGTTGGAGCAAAACAAACAGGCACCTTGTCCTGTCTCTACAGTATTGTAGGTATATAGGAGTTGAACAGACGTCTGAGTTCCCTAATATATGACATTTTTAAGATGTCTTTAAGACGCCTTGAAAACGCCAGCAGACGTCTAAAAGACATCTCGAATGTCGTTTGTAGCTAAGAAATTCGCTTGACGTAGTCGAAGAAATATGTTTCTCAATCTGCTAATGTGCACACGAAAGAATGTACTAAAGGCGACAATATCGTCAAGATAAACTAGACATTCTTCATTTTCAAGACCTCTAAGGATATTGTCCATTACTCGTTGGAAATTGGAAGGAGCATTTTTTAAACCAAAAGGCATACGTTTATATTCGTAATGACCATTCTCAGTTGAAAAAGCATTTTTTTGGATACCCTCAGGATGCATCTCAATTTGGTGTGATCCGTTGGCCAAATCTAGTGTGGCGAAATATTGGTTTTTGCCTAATTTATCAAGGATATCATTTATATTTGGGAGTGGATATTTGTTATCTATTGTTTGTACGGACGTCTTTAGGATGGTTACGAAAACTATTCACATAATTAGTTTCTCATTGAATTTAGACGTTACTGGAAACCATTTAGAATGCTACAGGACACTTTAGATTTTTAATGAGCATTTTGGAAAGTTCAAAACACTTAAAATTCAATCCAGAATTTCCGAAAGCATTCTGTTCAGAATATTTCGGAAACTTCAAAACCATTTTAGAAAGACCCAAAACATTCAAAAATCTTTTTACAATTTCCAAAAGCATTTTAGAACAATTTAGAAGTTTGAAACCCCTAAAACATTCAAATACTCTAGAATCTTTAGAAATATTTTGAAATGCGCCAGAATCTTAGGCTTCAGATTAAAAGTTACAAAACCCCTTCAGGCTTTTGCGAGTGAATTTAGATTGCTGTAGAACCTCAGACCTTTAATAAGCATCCAAAATAGTTAAAATCCAAATCAGAATTTTCAGGAGCATTTTGGAATAATTGAGAAACTTCATAGTTGTTTTCGAACAATTAGGAGTCAATTTAGAACTGGAAGCCTTTCAGAACTCTTCTAAACCAATTTAGAACACTTTGGAGTTTCAATAGAGCCCTAAAATAATAAACAATATGTCAGAACAATTTGAAAATTACTGAAAAGCTTCTAAAATGCTCCAGAACTCTTAAGCCAAGCCAGCAGCATTAGGAAAGGCTAAATGATTAACTTGAAAAGTTTGATTGGCCAGGTAATTTCTACAAAACATTATGTGAGTCAAATTTCCAAGGAAGACCAGATAAAAAATAATGTAAACAGTTAGTTGTACATTTGATTTAGTTTCTTCAAAATTCAGAGTCAGGCGACTGTGGATGTGATTGCGTGGTTAAGAAATGAGAACAAAGCGATTGATTGACGATGACGAAACAAAAATGACTGGCAAAGAACTGAACTGAAAAATAAAGCAACAAAAGAAAACTACAACTGTTTCTCTAGTTTGAATGACTGAAAACAAAAACACAACAGCAACTTATTTTTGTTTGGAGTTGGAGTTTTCGAAAACAGAAACAGAACAGCAACTCAACTAGTTTGTTTGGTGTGAAACCGCCTTAAAGAAAACGTAAAAATTGCACAAAGAAAATAATTATGACAACGGGTCAATCTAATATTCTAACATAAACAAAACTACTATAGTAATTGAAAGCTCTCATATCTCTAGACAACTAATACATTAATTACCAAATAACAAAAAAAGTTCAAGTGCATGACTTTATACAACCTTTGTCAACATTTTCTCCTACTGCGTTTTTGTCTATGACTATACTACTTACTATAATAAATATTGTTACAATAATAGACAAAAACGTAACGATTTCCACATCAACAAAACTGTTTTTCAAATGTTTATTAGGTGCGCAATAATAATCTGTTATCAGGGGTCTATGCCAAGGTACAGCGAACGAAGCCAGGCCCCGTTGCATTTTCCTGCGATGCACGCCTGTCCAAAGCATTGAGTGTTGAGTTAGGTCGGTGTTTGGACGGTTCCCTAGGAATAACCGGGTTAAATTTTAACGTTTTGTGTGGGTTAACTTGAAAAATTACGAATTTTCCTTGACGAAAAATTACCAATAACGCGAAAATTTGAACAAAATGTGCGCGCAGTAATTGTGCGTTTACGCGTTCGCCCCCCACTCTGATGTGATGCGTTAAAAATGGTGCGTATTTATGCGTGCGGTTCTTAAAGACACGTGTTAGAGGTGCGTATAAGATCAAAACACCTGTTGTAGATAACTTATTAAATTATTATTGTTCTAATACTTTATTGTTTTTGCATCATAACACAAAAGAAAATCAAAATTTCAGCTCAATATATTAAATTAATTTTTTTTCTTAGTACATAAAATAGAACATTTCAGCGATGTTCTATTCGGGTTGAACAATTCGCGTTCGATATAATGAAAAGTGAAAATTCAAAATGGCGCCGCAAAGTTTTCAGTGATTGACACAGTAATATTATTTCCCTTTTACAGATTCGTTCCAGTTTCCCAAAAATTTGGGTTTTTTTCGTTGAATTCCGAAAATGCTTCTCAGTGATTGATCGTTTTTAGTGCTACGACTTTTCTTGAGTCCGTTTTTTCGTGGGTACTTGAACTTTGACCTTTGCCATACCAGAAAAAGAAGCTGGTACCCAATCAAATTTCCAAACACATACGCAAAAATTCAAAGACAATGAAGAAAATGTATGTCGTATATTTTACCGAAAATTTACTAGAAGGTAAACCCCCCTAATTTTGCTCTATAGTGTTATGGAAGAAAAAGCGAAAATTTCAAGTTCAAGGCAAGGTGAACCAGTGTCTAGTGATGTTTATTATTAGAATCGCATCGGTTTGTTTAAAACGAAATGTGCAGGTTCTGTTTAAATTAATGATTATGCAGTTGCATTTTGCGACCTTGACGCAACGTTCGGGACTCCGAAATTTCACCTTTTGCCATTTACCATAATGAATTTTTGAGGCGTAGAATTCAATTTTTTTTTTTCAATATAAAACTCTATAGAGTCATTGCTCATTATTAAACATTGAATGTACAGATTAGAGTGAATGTTGTTTACTTACATGATTTGGTCAATAGTTGGGTCAATTTTTCCATGTTTCTGTCAATAAGAATTTTCTTCCATAGCTTTCACCTTCTACATCTAACTTTGTCAAATATAACTTTTATACATTTAATACAGCTTGGTCAAGTTAGCTCCCAGTATTCGCGGGCTCTCTTTCCATATACAAAAAAAAATTAAACATTCTGAGGCTCTTGACTATGCCAACCCCCATTTTTTTTTTTTTTTCACTTTTTTGAATTATTCGTGGCTCATTCAACTATTGTGCAGAATTGTTGATTTCTGCTCATCAAAAAGTAAGCAAATCCCCGAGCAAATCCGGAGTGACCCCAATAATTTTGATCGTTTTCTGGTTGTTTCTTAACGAGGGCCCAAAAATAGATACGAATCGAAGTTTATCGCCAACTTCCCGTTGTTTTAATAGTTCCTTCAAAATTATAGTCATGCATAAAAGAGAGTACCATTCAAAACTACACTGGAACAATTCAGTACAAAACGAACTTAATTGCATGGAGCCACAAATATTGCAAGAAAAAGTGGGGTACAAATTCAATTTTTACCAGCACAAAACGAGCCAAATTGAGAAACAGTATACAAAACCGAATGCTAACCTACCCTTACAGAGAACAAAAAAAATTTATTTCAGTAGGCCATGACATGGATTAATGCCTTGGTACATGAAATTGAATTTTCTAGAGAAGGTGACCTCCTCAGCGAAATGTTATTTGTTTACTTATGCTCGGGCATTCCGTAATGGGCGAATCAAACAGTTTTTGCACAATAAAGCTATGAAAATAATGTTTAATTATAGAGAAATAATCGTTTAATCTTGAATGGGTTGGAATAATAATAATTGATCTTTACTTAATAATTAATTTATCAATCAATCATTTCATAGTTCCATTCATTCATATCAAGATCAAATTAAAAAATAATATGGTGAATAAGGTGTCCGGGTATTCCTCAGTTTGTCATTCACAATTTTTTGTATTATTCGCAAGATCTACAGTGGTCGTTTCACGAGAGACCTTAGAATTTTTTTCTTGATTTAAGTAGCTTACCTACGTCGTTTTTTAGGGTCACACCCCCTTTAAAAGGCCTCTTTTAAGGCACTCTTGGGCACAGATGTCTATAAGGCCAGTACTTCAGCTTCAAAATATTGTAGGCGTGTGACCAATTGCTAAGGAGAGTTTGAAGTTTGGTCCGGTTATTCCCAGAGTGACTCCTTCCGTTAGCTTCGAACCATCTGTGTACCACAATGATGTGTTGTCCACTTGCGTTCTTCCATGATTGGCGTTCTTCTACAACCCCTTCATATGGAATGTCAAAGTCCAGTGATGTTATCATATGATCTGTTGGTTTACTTTGGAACTCATGCTTTATGGACTAAAGGATTCTTAAGTGGCCATTCAGATCCCCAGGTTTAAATCTTTTCATCTGGAATAGCCTATAGGCACCTATTCTTGCCTCTTTTTTCACATATAGGTGAAGAGGAGGCATAATCGGCTACGGTGGGGTAGGTTGACATAGCCCCTCTTTTTCCTAGATAGATTAGCCTGTGGATTAGTCTTTGTACTTTTACGTTGGCTGTTCTGTGCAATAATTTGCTCAGTCTTTGTACCAATGAGGCGTAGGTGACTTTTGGTCTGACAACCGTTTGCAATCTCGAATGTACCATCGATGTTTCAGCATGGCTTCTGTCCATCCTATAAGCTTCAACCCCTCTATGTGATGTGTTATGGGACAATTAAAAATGTCTGCCTTATTAGAACGTTTGTACTAAAAAAACCGCGCTCTCATGATTCATTCCAGTTGCTAAAACTAACGAAAACCTCACAGTAGCAATAGCAGACGTAACCAAGAATGGAAGAAATATGTGAAACGTTATGGATAATAATTTATAGTTACAACCATGTGCAGATGTCTAATCATCCTCTTCTTCTTCTTTATCCTGTTATCGAATGCCTTTCCATAGTCTAAGAAATTGAGATAGAGAGGAAGATGATATTGGTTTTCTGTGAGAATTGTGATGATGACAAGATGATCAGAAGTACTAATCCCAGCCTGATTGAACAGGTTGATTGCTGGTCCATTTTTAGTGATGATTTTCATGAATACCTTGTACATTCATTCGATTGCGATAATAGCGAGATCCAATGTTTAGATCGGAAACGACATTTTTTTTTTTTTTTTGCTGATAATCTATGTCAGGATCTTGCTACAGGTACAAGTCACGAAAGCGAAGCATATTATCAAAATCACCTAAATATAGCAATCATAATTTGTGTACATTTAATATGCTCATCCCGAAAAAAAAAATCACAACGAAGAAAGTCAAAGATGCGCTTTTGGTTTAGACAGAGATCGATATATAGGAATGATATACTGACGTCAGACGTTGAAATGCACGTATGCAATTTAACCTTGCAAACTAAAATTAGTCGACTGAGGAAATTAAAACATAATGTAGGTGCCGAAAAAAACTATTAAAACTAAAACGTTTATTTTTATTATATTATGGAAGGTACCTACCTACCTAATAAAATATGTAATACATACTTCAATGGGATGGTTTTTGGGATTGTTTTGATGTTACGTGGAAGTTCTTGGATCATTCTAGAGTTTTGATCATAAAGTTTTTGATTCAGAGATGTGTGCTCGAGAAAATTATTAAAAAGTTGCTCATGCAATTTGTAAAGCTGATATTACCAAATCAAGGTAATATCAACTTCCTTAAGTAGGTATTAACATAATTTACATCGACTCAACATTAAACTTATGAGAAATAGATATATTGTACAGGGTCAGACCATAACATCTTCCCTTTCAGTTGAATTTTCAAGTCAAGGACTACCTCCCCTGAAGCTGTAATTTTATGATATCTACGTGTAGAAATCTTTTGCAACTTATGAATAGTTGACTACCAGATGTTTTGCTTATGTATACTGATTTGCTTGCGAGTTTTTGTCTATTATAGCTACTCTCAATGTTCCACTCTTTGATTAGTTCTGAGTCTAATTTTCTGAGCCATTGATGGTTTCAATCTTTTTTATTTAGCAGTAGTATTGACACATATAGGTACTGTGTAACATAGAAATTGCAACACCCAGTAAATCTGAACATATTTTAATAATATTTTGGGAACTAATTGGGATAAATATGAATAACAATCGATGATATTTTCAAACAAATTTATTGAAAGGAATTCTTAACAATTCAATGGGGAGTTGCGCCTCCCCATAGGTTTTGACATTCTGTCAGGCTTCGTGGCATGCTGCGAATCAGATGATCGATATCTGCCTGTGGTAGTAGGTTCTCCCAGACTAATCTTACCATCATGACGTAGACGTTGTACATCCAGTAAAAGATGTGACAACTGCCTCAGTCTTCTACCTATCACATCCTAGAAATGTTCAATAGAAGGGTTGGAAGGCGATAGGTTAATAATGTAGGATTGAGCGTTCATGTTTCTATCCAAAAAAATTAGAGGTGACCTGCTTTCAACTGCTACGGCACCCCAAGCCATAACATTCCTATAGTGAGCGCAGTCCCACGCTCCATGCAAAATTGAAGTTGGTGCCTTTTTCCACGTCTGCGATGGACTCTTCTACGTTGCCCTACCTTCAACCTTCAACAACAACAAGATCCAATTTTTCAACAAGACACATACCGTTGCACTTACTAGAAACCCCCTCCAACAAGCTAATGTAAACCTTCTTCCATGGCCCTCAAGGTCATCAGACTTATCGCCTATTGAACATGTCTGGGATATGAAAGGTAGAAGGCTGAGGCAGTTGCACAGCTTCTACTGGATATACAATGTCTATGTCATGAGGTAAGATTAGCCTAGGAGAACCTAGCACAGGCAGATACCAATCGTCTGATTCGCAGCATGCCACGAAGAGTTACAGAATGTCAAAAATTACGTGGAGACGCAACTGACTATTGAATTGTTAAGAATACCTTTCAATAAATATGTTTGAAAATGTCATCGACTGTTATGCATATTTATCCTAACTACTTCCCAAAGTATTAATAAAATATATTTATATTTACTGGGTGTTGCATTTTCTATGTCACACGGTATATACTCATTCATCTTTTTGATAGAAGTTGAAAGGAGCGTGTGAATTACTGTGTATATACAATCTTTGAATCGAATTATTAAATTATCGACCTGTCATGATACGCAAAAGCTCCAAACGATTTTTAATGATCTAGAAAAATAAATTTGCTCACTTCTTAATCGTTGACCAGAATGATATAAAAGTGAAACTAATTAATGTCGAATTAAAAAAATCCATCTTCATTAGGGACTCATTTCATTAAATTTGTTTATATTATATTATAAACAAATTCTAAGTTAGAATATTATTATTTATTCAACATTTTCAGCTGGCCAAAGCAAATAACCTGGTTTAAATTCGGGGGATTCCCTTGACCCAGGGAGTGTTTTGATTTTTTTTTCAAACTCATCACGTCATCCAACGCTTTAAACATAAATTTGAAGAAATACTTTTATTTTTGATGAACTGAGGAAAACATCAAGTAGGTATCAATTGTACAGCGAAGCAAAATGTTGGAGTTTTGTGCAAGACGATGATCAAACATAAAAAGGCAGAGATAAAATTATATAGTCACATAAAATAAAAACGCAGAAAGTATCACTATAGCCTAATTATTAATTTATTATTTTATGTTAGTCTTCACACATCTATATTTCTATCAAAACACCATTTACCATTATATATTGACACTATTCTATCTAGAAACCAGTTCAATACACCCAAAAACTATGATACATAACAAACAGCGCAAAAATATTCATTATAGCCAAAGAAAAAGTTCATTGGCATTGCCTTGGTGAATAAGTACGAATTTTTAGTTTAAGTAACGGTACCCGAAAACCCATGACGTAGCCACCATGTTATCTGAAACACTATAGGCGGAATAATTTTAATTTCTTTTGGATTTTATTAATTTTTTCTATTTGGTTTCAGGTCTTAAATGTCGTGACGCACTACCGAACACTTCTTGGTCGGATATGATTGGGGTAAGTAAACCTAAACCAAGGTTATTTCCATAAAATGTCACAAATCCAATTTTTGCTGATGAGGAATCAAGTATAGGAAAAAAGGGCTTCAAGAACTAATGAAGTCTTTGAAAAGGCAACTCATCTAGGTATCATTCATTCCCGCAATGACCTTAATTAAAATAAAAAGGTTCCAGAATTCAGTACTAAAAGCTTCAATCTGCTGAAAAATAAAGTAGATGTGAAATGCCAATTAATGAAACATATCTTCATCAACTATTGTCAGAACCTCAGCTGTTCAGACACAATTTATTTTAGTGCTCGGAGGAGCCAATCAAAAAGAACTTCAAGAAGCAACAACACAAACTTCTAAGCTTCAGCAATGGATTCCTACCCTTGATGAGCCAAGATAGCTTTGATAGCTTTAGAACAAGCTATACAAGAAACAGCTAACCAACCTATCTTTCTTTAGTCCTGAGGGGCCAATTTAAGAAAAGCCTCAAACTTCAGGAAGCAACGTCATGAGCTTCGGAAGCAATGGTTATCATCATTTTCAACCCATTACTTCTTTGAGGAACTAATTGAAGAAAATAGGACCAAGAACCAACACAATGTAGCCACCACACCAAAAAAAACTTTACTCCTGAGGAACCAACAAAAAAAGCCGCAAGAACCAATGCCAGAGTCTTCAGAAGAACTTGTTAAGCAAGTGACTCTTTTTCTACTCCTAAGAAACCAAATAAAGGAGAAGCGCTTGAGAATAAGCCAGTTGATGAGAAAAATCTTTAAGAAGGCTTGTATGTAAAAACAATATCTATTATTTACTTTCGAAAAGCTAGTTAAAGAAGCAGAGCATCAAAGACTAATCTAAAGAGCAGTTGGGAGAGTAACTGGGGCATTATCTGAAAAGTTGTTTCAGGAACGATTAACTTATATGAGCTGTTGAAAAAGCAACTCAACAATTATCCGTTTCTGAAGAGTCAATTAACGTAAAAAAGTTCCAAGAACCAATTCCAGAAGCTTCAGAAGAAGCTGTTGTAAATTCATATAATATAATCTGAGTGAGACCTGTATTGTGAGTGAGAACCAAAAAACGAAGTCAAAAGTAGAAGCAGAACAACTTTTTTGAAGCTCAAAAATTCCTGACCAAGGCTTCAGAAGAGAGTTTTAGGAAGCAACTTTTCTATCCAGTTTTAAACTATTTTGTGTTTCTAAAGAACTACTCAGACAGCACAGAGGCATCTTAAAGACTTCCCTAAGAATTCCACAAACGACATTCGAAAGCCCGAGCCCTATTGAAGCTCCAAAGTATTCTAAATTGGTTCAAAAAGTTCTTAAAGGTTTCCAGTTTTAAATTGAATTCTAACTGTTCTAGAATAACTCTGAAGTTTCTGAATTGTTCCAAAATGCTCCTGAAAATTCTGATTTGGATTTAAACTTTTTTGGATGCTTATTAATGTTCTGAAGTTTTACAGCAATCTAAATTCGCTCTTGAATGCCTTCTGAAAGGCGTTTTGTAACTATTAACCTGAATCTTAAGATTCTGGAGCTTTTCAAAATATTTCTGGAGACTCTAGAGTGTTCGAGGGTTTTGGAGCGTCCTAAAATGGGTTTCAAACTTCTGAATTGCTCTAAAAGGCGTTTGGAAATTGTAAATCGGTTTGAGAATATTTTGAGGAATTCTAAAATGGTTCTCAAATTTCCAAATCGTTCTGAAACGCTACAGAATGCTTTTGGAAATTCTGAATTAAATTTTAAGTGTTTTCCAAAAGGCTTATTCAAGTTCTGAGGTGTTCTGTAGCATTCTGAATGGTTTCCAGGAACTTCAGAATTGAATGAGAACCGAATTCTGTGGGAAATTCTCGTAAACATCTCAAGGACGTCTAAGATATCCACAAACGACATTCAAGACGTCTTTAAGGCGTCTCAAAGACATCTTGAGGATGTCGTATGTTACAAAATCCAACTTCTTTTGGACGTCTGCTTGAAGACGTCTTCAACGAGATGTCCTAAAGATATATTTGAATCTCTTTTCAATACATAAACTTAGGTCTCCAGATGTTCAGACGTAATGCTGACCTAAAAAAGACGCCTTTAAGCTTTGTTGTCTGGGGTATTCAAAAATAAGAACTTTCTAAACCTACCTCCAGCTTTAAAAGTGTATAGGATAGAGGCAACTTAAAGAATAACATATTCAGAAACTATCACCAGAAGCTGTTGGAAAAGAATCATTATCTTATACTCATGAGAAAATTGAAGGAGAAGGGCTCCAAAAAGCAAAACCAAATATTTTGATAAAGCAAATAGGCCATTATTAATTTTGGAGTCCTGAGGAACCAATTATTTAACACGTTGAAGGACAGTGAACATTTCTGTAAGATACCAATTTATGCAGATGCTGGACGGCGTCCTGTTTCTATAAAGTGGGGGGGCTGGAAATATAAATAAATTTTAAATGTGTGACACTACGGCACTGATATTCGAACGAATTGTGACTGGATTCACTTTAAATTGTACGGTAGATACAAACGCTAAACGGCGTCGTGTCATTTTCAACCATCAATCTGAAGACGCATATCAGCGTTGTGTCACATCACAACTTCAGGAAATGACGCTGATCTGCGTCTCTGTCCTTCGACGTGTTGATAACTGCTTCAAAAACCGATACCAGAAGCATTAGAATGCGTCTCATCCATATTACCGAAAAAAAACCTCTAGAACCAAATCCAGTAGCTCGAGATGAGGCTGTTAGAAGACTGGAAATCAGTAATTAATTTAGAATAAACATAAGAAACAGCTCTTCTTAATTGCTAATTTGTGAAGGAATAGGTATCGAAGATATTTACTGTTTGTTCCCAGTAGCTTATTTTCGTTAAATGTTGACCCTGTTTAGACAACTAAGATAAAGAAAAAACTAAACAAAGAATCAATAATTGCAATTTTCAACTAATTCCCATAATAAATTTGTCAAAAGAACCACCTTATTTCAAAAAATACTAGTGTCTCATCGACTTTATCATCAGTTATTACTAATCACTAAAATATGAGAACTGTGGTTTTGCTTTTTTCGAATGCTCGCATTGTGTAGGATTTAGATAAAAATAATTGCACTACTGTTATAATTTATCATAATCTTATCAGAAATGGGCCTAACCTTGACCTTGACTTTGCTGCAAAACTAATAGTTGCACAATAATAATATGCGGGTTTTAAATGGAATAAATTCACTATGAACAAAATTATTATTTTTTTGTGGATTTGACCTTACAGAGTGACTCAAAAAAAGCTGATAAGTAATATAACGTCATCAATGATTTTCATGGGCTATTTGTTAAAGAGAATCCAAAGTTATAACTGCTCAAAATGTTCTCCGCTTCGTGAAGATTTCCCAAATGGGACTTTTTCGCAGAATTGTAGGTTTCTCCTTGTTTATCATGATTAGCAAATTCTGGATCAGAAAGGATTATACGTTTTCAATTTCCTTTTCCAGGACACAATGGACGAATCGATAGGATCCAACAATAATACATTGGATCCATCAACAATAAGCGAAGAAGACTTTGAACTTCACACCACTTACATCGTACCCGATCTACCAGTAGATCGGGACGTACCTAATAAGGCCGAAGCGACTCTACCCAGAAATTTAATATTGAAACCATCAAATGCTTTGTCAGATGTAAGTAGAAAAGTCTCTTCTCAGTGAAACTACTTTTTCCGCTTTTCTTCTCTTTTGAGAATAAAAAAGGAAAAAAAGTGTGTTTTCATTTATGGAAAATAGAGGTCAACAGTTATGCATACAGTAATTTGCATACTGCGTTTCCGGCTTGTGTCTTTGGTTAATTAAAATTGTTAGATGTTTATAGAATTTTGCACAAAATCGTAAAATATATAGACGCAAAAGTTTAATTTTATCTTTCTGTAGTTCACTTTTAGTATCTAGTTTTCATATTCCTGATATTGGCAATCACCACTTGGTCGATTTACAAAATCAAAGTCTGATATGGTGTTTTCTGATAGTTAATTTATAACTATAAATAAATACAAAAATGTAGGTACCTATACACCAGAAAAATCTATAAAAAAAAAAGAAATGTTAAAATTTTCCGATGAGGAACTAGAAAAAACATTTCGCTATTAATGCCCTAATGAAAACTAAAATACGTATCAACATTGGTAGGTATACCGACATCTGTAACCACTATAACGGCTCTAGTAGCTTAAAGTGGCACAAACTGAAAAACGTAACGGGAAAAGTTACATATTAGGTAACTGGTTTGTACTTAAATTATTCCAAAAAAAAAAACAACGAGAATTTTGAATTTGCCCCTTCGTCACCGATTTCTCCATTATGATAAACATGTTGACTTGAAGATTTAACACTTTTATAACTTTTACTAGCGTCACTGACCTCTCTCTAAAGATGAGTTACTTCTTTTGAAAACAAACAATTTCTTCCTTTTTAGACTTTGACCAAATTTATTTTTTAGGCCCAAGGAGTATGGAGCACAGGATATATCCCACGAGGAACAAGGTTTGGCCCCCTCGTGGGAGAAATTTACGCCAAAGATGCTGTGCCCACGTCGGCGAACAGGAAATATTTTTGGAGGGTAAGCATTGTACGCAAAAAAAAATATTTATTTCAATAACCCTGAAGGAACAAACAATATATTAGCAAGTGTTTCGGATCTTGATACACTTTTTCTTTGTCGATACAGGTACAACTTAGAGAAGGATTTTGCCGCCATTCGTCTAAGGATTCAAAGGTACCAATAATTGTGTTTTGTGTGTGTCTGTTAGATCCTAGTTTATTAATGTTTATCCTCGTTTATCGTTCACTGTTAAAAAATATTTTTAATCCTAAGCCTCGCACTGGTGGGTTAAGCAAATTTAAATCTTTTTAGAAATAACAGCGGCACATGATTTCAAATTAGAAAATTTCAATGAATGTAAAGTTAAGGTATTGGCAAAGAGCCCAACAATTATCATGCTAACAGAAACATGGCTGAGGGATGGATCATAGATGACAGCATTATAAATCCAAATGTTTATAGTATTTAAAAAAATCATTGATTAGCGATATCTCCAAATTTCCGATGGGTTGAGGCGCAAAATGCGTATGCATATAATCCCAGTTTTATTCAGGTAACTCCCAGTGGTGCAATGGAGCTCTGGCTGGAGAGGATCAAATTAGAACACATGCATCATATTATTTAACCAATGTTTCGTTATCCCTATCGATTTTCTTCCAAAAACAATTCTTCCTTACCAACTGCTTCATTTTTGTGACTCCAATGTGAGTTCTATGCAGTTCTGCTAGCACTGAAGGTTGAAGTTTAGTCGGCATAACAACTCTTTGTCCTTTGAAAAGCACTCCATCTTCCAGTAGGTAATTAAATTCTGAAAACTGATTTGTCAATAAATCAGATGAACTTCATCTACATCTTTGGGTCTAGGCATGTCAACTATGGCTTTTACTTTTGCTGGAGATTTTGATACCTATTTGATTATGTTGAATCACATGCCCAAGATATTTGATGCTGGGTCTGGAAAAATGCACATTTATTTTTATTCAAATTCAAGTCGAAATTTTTGAGTCGTTGTAAGCATAATAAAATATTGTGTTGCCACTCTTATCTCATGAATCCATGAATTATTATGTCATCGAAATATGAAAGTGTTTCGAATCTGATCAATAATCCGGTTAAATTCAGATGGGGCTGTTTTAATATCAAATGACAATCATCATGGTGCGTAGTAATAGTTTGAATCAGGGTCCTTTCATCCTCTACTCAAAGGTGTAAATATGCCTTATAGAGATCTAAACGACAAAAATATTGGGAATTTCTTAAACTATTCAGGATCTCGTCGATACGTCGAATCGGGTAATTTGCTGAAACCAAGCATTTGTTAACCCCTACTTTATAGTCAACATACAAACTTATCCCTTGATCTGGTTTAGGAATTACAACTAGGGGTGAACCCCAATCGCTGACATTTACCTTGGATATTATACCATCAGCTTCTAAAATATCTAGTTCTCTGTCAACACGATCTCGAAGAGCATACGGTACTTCTCGTTCTCTATGGAATAATGGTTTAGCATCAGGTCGAAGATTTAATGATACTGTATAATTTGTAAATATACCAATCCTCTCTTCAAATATTTCTGGAAACTCTTGTGCTATTTCCTCCACACTTAGTATTCTGAGCGGTATTTGTTATGCTTCTACTATCAATTTGTTGCAAGTTGATTCCAAGATGTCGGATCCGTCCCAAAAGTGGTTCAAAATTATTTGGCAGCACACCATTGGTGTGCTGTCAAATCACCAACTATCTTGTTAGTAGCGGAGTTGTCCGAGTTTCAGTCATGGGCCCTTTGTTTTTCACATCATATTTGATCTTGTCAGTCTCATTAAATCTAAAATGAAAAACTTCGCAAATGATGTAGAGCTTTATACACATCCGCTAGTACATGCAGGGCAGCTAAGGGCTGATCTGAAAACTGTTGAAGAATGGTCCACAGATTGGGAAGTAGGGCCGTATCTAGGGGGGGGGGGGGTTTTGGGGGTTCAAACCCCCCCCCCCAAAAATAATAAAATTCAAAAAATTTATCTTAAAAACAAACAAAACTTATTAAATACGTATTTATTTATTTTATTTTTATTACTAGTGTAACAATTTTTTTTTGCCACTTAGTCTAACCCCCCCTAAAATTTTGGTCTAGATACGGCCCTGAATGAAGTTGAATGTACAGTCTTATAAAAATCGGTCCAACCAATCTAAATGAAGAATATGAAGTAAACAACGTGACATTACAATCTGTGACAGATAAAAATGACCTACGAATTATGATAACTTCAGACCTCAAATGGGAGAACCATATTTTAAAAATTGCCAAGAAAGCCAATTATTTTGTATACTTTATTAAACAAGCATTTAAAGACCATTCGATAGAAATGATAGGCAAACTATATCAAAATTACATACGACCAAAACTTGAATACGGTTTCTCAGTGTGGAATCCCTTCTTCGTCAAAGATATAGAATACCAATACCAAAAATAGCACCAGAACTAGGAGACCTTCCATACACAGAGAGATTGTTAAGGTTCAGACTATAACTAACAACCTTAAAGGACAGTAGACTTAATCAAAACATACAAAATAACATACTACTATAATAGCAGTATCAGAGATATCTTTGTACAAAACCAAAACTATCTTCGTGGGCACTCCAAAAAAACTCGAAAAAAAAAACGCAAAACTGCCTAGAAGAAACTTTCTGAGTAACAGGGTTGTTTATTCATGCAACGCCCTGAAAAAGATTTGATTCTTCAAAAAAAGCATTTCTAGTGTGAGGATTATATGGAACTTTTCAGACTCCTAATTGAATTCAAAAGGCTCTAAATTTTGATTCTAATAGAAAAAATTCAACCTGAAAAATAAAAACTAGAAAGTTCACTTTTACAACAAATTAAAACATCTCATTTCATACAACGTTAAATTTAGCCCATCCTAAATTAATCTATGTATGCCTATAATAAGTACCTATATTTGTCACCGTTGCATCAATAATTGTTGTTTAAACATATCAAATTGTTAATTATAATCAGATCATATGATAAAATTTATTCTCATATTGTTGTTGCTTTTCAAATTATAGTAAAATAAAGTAGGTACCTATTATGTATGTATACCTGGACTGATGTTGATTATAGTTTCTTAGATATGATATGGTACTCTAGACGAAACGAGACTATAAATTTTTGTCTACATCATTTTTCAGGCTGATCAAATTGTTTTAACTAGCTTTAGTGCGAAATTCTCTCAGCAAAGTTAAACCAGGGACCGCTTTAGGGGGGGGGGGCAACCCGGGCATTTGCCCGGAGCGGCAAAATTTGGGGCGGCATTTATATCGATAAAACAAAACAAATAAATAAATAAATAAAAGGTCTGTTCGCACAGATATCACAAACCAGTTAGAGTGAATTTCATTGGTTGAAAACATTCAGAAAACTAGTTTCAACCAATGAAATTCACTCCTCTGACTGGTTAGTGATTTATGTGCGAACAGACCTAAGGCCGCGAGACCTAGCGAGTCCTAGTGATGCGAGAAAGTGTGCATATACAAAGATTGTATAACTCGCTTGCGATTGTTTTTCTAGCTCCAAATTAGTCCTTCATTGTGTGTAACAAGGAAACACTGTGCGTAATTTTAAAATGGACGTAACGTGTTTGTTGTTTATTAGAAAATTCGTTGATCGTAAACAGTGTCGGACTGGGGGTCATTTGGCCCACCAGGCAAATGGTGAAGTGGCCCACCCAACCCAAATCCCATTCAATAAAAACAGTTTTGATAATTATTTGTTGAATCTGAATCACGATTTCTCACTGCAGCAATATTTTCGATTGATCGACCACTGCGAGGACGTATTGGTCTTTGGACATCATAGAATATTGGACATCCAACACTGATCCGGTTTGATCAAATTTTTGAATCTTGTTAACCGCGGCACAAGATGGACGGTTATGGTTACCGAAGTCATTTCGCAATGCACGAATCGTCTTTGTTAAATTTTCTATATTTCGGAAATGGGTTTTAACAATTAAAATGCGATCTTGTGTTGAATACCGCTCCATATTCGTAAATGTCAATACTCATTTATGACACATGCCAAATTTCAGCCATATATTCAGCACCAGTATTAGCCTATTCAAAACACGTGACTTTGACTACCGAACAAAGGGTTTGCTTGCCTTTTGGCGGACATTTTTATTTAAGTTTGACAGCATCTTGGAATTGTCAGCCTATCTAAAACACGTGACTTTGAAAAGCAAACAAAGGGTTTGTGTGCCTCTTGGCGGACATTTTATTTAAGTTTGACAGCATTTTGGATAGTCTAATTGCCATATTTAAATTGTAACCTCAAACTGTATCACCCTATAGGTACCTGCTAGGTAGGTACTTAGGGTGCCGGTACTTTTGTTCTCAGTTTTCGAATTTGACAGCCGGTAAAAATAATCTCTAACCACATAGTTACAGACCTTGGCCCATGCAAAACCTTGTTAAATTTAACGACAAATCAAATTCGTTAATCGGGAACAAAAGTATCGGCCCTATAGGTTCACTCCAGCTGCCTGTTTATATTTTGTTATTACCTATTTACCGATGTAGTATGTAGTTTGTAGTTGTATATAACTGTCAATAATCAGCCCTATTCATGTGTGTCCTTGGATATTGGTTATTGCCTTGGTTATTGGAAAACTGTAAAAATATGGTGGATTGTTATTCAGGTGCTGCTTAGTTGTTGAATTGAATATTGGTTATTCAGCCCTATTCATGTGTGTCCTTGGATATTGGTTATTGCCTTGGTTATTGGAAAACTGTAAAAATATGGTGGATTGTTATTCAGGTGCTGCTTAGTTGTTGAATTGAATATTGGTTATTGAACGTCATATTGGTTATTGAAATTAACATCGAATATCTTATTCAGGTGTACTATATTTTCCAATAACAGTTTTCAGTGTTTCATATTTTGTAAGCAGGTGGTTCGGGCACCGGCTTGGCAAATTGGATATTGGAAAACTATTGGGTTTTGTGTTATGTTTAGAATTTTTCCTACAACTGCCTTTGAAAATGGAGTTTTTCACACGCTAGGCAACCTCTGAAAATAGAGTTTTTCGCACAGTAGTGTGAGAAACAGTTCTTCACACGCTGCTTATTAGTTTTTTATTTATTATGGTTAATAAAAATTACATATTTG